CTCCGTTTCAAAGCCAATGAGCCAGCGCTGTCCGAAGACGTTTCCGTGGTCATGTGGCCGGCATGACTAAACACCAAGGCGCACGGACCGCTGTTACCTTCCCACTGAACTGGTACCTATTTATCTGCTTGCAGTTTCTTGCTTTCGAACTGCTAGGTTGGCAGGAGCTGGAACTAGAGACGGGAGCTCACTCCGTCATGTGGCACACTCGGGTCTCAAACTGCTGAACTACCGACCTTCCACAGCCTGCAGTTCAGCGTCTTAACCACTTGAGCCACTGCAGCTCCTGACTCTCAGCTCCCGGCTTCACAGCTCACAGACCCCTTAGCACCTGGATGCTCCGGCTAGACTCTGGCTGGACTCAGGCTTGATCCTTGACTCTGGCTGGACTCACCCTGGGCCCATAACCCTGTTGCGCAGACGTGTCGTGCGACATGGCTAGGGATCTTCAAAAGCACTGATACCTGGACAAGGATAATAGTGAAAGAGAAGAGCCCCATGTTTCAGTCATTAGGTGGGATCTAATATTGGACACGTGTCCCAGCTGCCGTTGCTACAGAAGAGTCAAGTGGGAGAGGGGTGTGGCCAGGTGACAAGGGAGTCACGGGACAGGTCAGGGTCTGCAGAATGCCTGAAGAGTGGCTATTGATGCAAGCCGGGGGGGGGGGAGGCTGATGATATCATCAACTTATGAGTGACTCTGTCAGTTATTCTCCAGGCATGGTGCCTTCATCAGACAGCTGACTTCAGACTTTGCCTGCCTTTATCACTGGTAAGCAACTAGATGACCCTAGAGGTCCCTTCCAACTCTATGATTCTTTTGGTAAGGCAAAATGGTCATCCCTTCCCCTCTGGCTGTCACACAGTGCTGGAAGTCACGTAATGCGTTGAGGGTCACGACACAAGCCTATGGCCTTTGTGTCATAAGCAGGGCTGCCAACCCCCAGGTGGCACCTAGCGATCTCCTGCTATTACGATTGATCTCCGGACGACAAAGACCAGTTCCCCTGGAGAAGATGGCTGCTCTGGAGGGTGGACTCTGGTGCACTGTACGCTGCTGGGGTCCCTCCCCTTTCCCAAACCCTATGCTCCACCCCCAAATCTCCAGGAATTTCCCAACTCAGAGCTGGCAACTCTTGCCAGGAGACATCTCAAGTGGGTAGGATCCGACATGTTGAGTTTTTGTTTTGCTGGGCCTACCCCCAGTAGTGGTTCTTATTGGTTAACCGTGGTTCTGGTGTTGTTTGTTTACTGTTTTATTGAATCGTTTTATTATCTTCGAGATCCTACTCAGCCCTACCCCACCTTCCTGGGTAGATATCAGTTACCTGCCTACCGTTTTTCTTCTCACCTTGACACAGAGAGTCCTCCATCTTTCTGGGTTATACCTCTGAGCAGGGCTTTTTTTGTAGAAAAAGCCCAGCAGGAACTCATTAGCATATTAGGCCACACCCGTGACAGCACAGCTCATTAGCATATTAGGCCACCTCCCCATGTTACCAGAAGTGTGGTCAGCAGGTCAAAACCCAGGGCTTTTGGCATGTTAGGCCACACACCCCTAATTGTAGCCAATCCGAATGAGTTCCTGTTGTTGGGTGTGGCCTATTATGCTAATGAGTTCCTGCTGGGTGTGGCCAACTTGGGAGCCAGCCGGAACTCCGTTCCTGTGTGTTCCTGCCCAAAAATAGCTCTGCCTCTGAGGATGCCAGTCACAGCGGCTGGCGAAACGTCAGGTCCTACAATGCCAAGACCACGGCCATACAGACCGGAAAATCTACAACAACCAATGAACTCCGGCCATGAAAACCTTCGACAACGTGTTGTTTTTAATTGTTCTAATGTTTTACGCGCACTGCTTTGGGGACCCCGATTGGGTGGAAAGGAGGCATTAAAATGTTTTAAATATATATATTTTTTAAAAAACATGAGCTGCTGGGGGGGGGGAAGATCCCCTTCAGCTACTATTTGTGAGGTATATAAGGTGGACGTGAACCGCAGAAACACCGCTGGCCTTTGTCCCTTCAATTCACTTGTGACTGTGAGAACAACAGCAGAGGCGACAAGGAATTGAGGAAAGAATGAGGAAAAGAGCTGGGTAAGCAGCCGGGGAAAAGAGAAGAACTGAATCAAATGGGAAAGCCAGGAAGCCTGGAGACCAAAGCCCTGTGAGGAAAGGCTGAGGGACTTGGGAATGTTCAGTCTGGAGAAGAGGAGGTGGGGGGGGGGACACGATTGCTCTCTTGAAGTATTTAAAGGGCTGTCCCTTAGAGGTGGTTAAGGAGCTGTTCCTGTGGGCAGCAGAGGAGAGGACTCACAATAATTGGGTTAAAACTAAGGGTGGGAAGGTACCCACTGGGTATCAGAAGAAGAAGAAGAGATTGGATTTATCCCCCGCCCTTCACTACCCAAAGGTGTCTCAGAGCGTCTTACAAACTCCTTTCCCTTCCCCTTTCCCCTCGCCACCACAGACACCCTGTGAGGCAGGTGGGGCTGAGAGAGCTCTGACAGAAACTGCTCTTTTTCAAGAACAGCTCTGACAGAACTATGGCTTGCCCAAGGTCATCCAGCAGGTGCAAGCGGAGGAGTGGGGAATCAAACCCGGTTCTCCCAGATTAGAGTCCATACACTTAACCACTACAGCAAACTGGTATTAGGGAAAACGTTTCCACAGTAAGAGTTGTTCAGACAGCAGAATCAGCTGCCTGGGAAGGTGGTGAGCTCCCCCTCCCTGGCAGTCTTGAAGCAGCGGCTGGACAAACCCTTGTCAGGGATGCTCTCGGCTGATCCTGCATTGAGCAGGGGGTTGGACTAGATGGCCGATAGGCCCCTCCCACCTCTGTGATTCTATGAAGACCTGTGAAGAGGGACCAGAGTAGACGACTTGGCCCCCGCTTTAGCATAAATGAAAGAAATGAACACCTCCCTTGGGATTTTAAAGAGATCTGTATGCCCCCCACTCCTAGGGATGCCAGCCTCCAGGTGGGGCCTGGGGATCCCCCAGAATTACAGCTTGTCTCCAGACTGCAGAGATCAGTTCCGATGGAGCAAATGGATGCTCTGGAGGGTGGACTCTATGGCACTGAACCCCACTGAGGTCCCTGCCCTCCCCAGGCTCCACCCCCCAACCTGGATCTGGCCACACTACTCCCCCATCCCCCACCGGTGGTCACGGGTGGGGTGGGGACCCGGCAACCCTACCTCCACCCTCCAAATCCTTTGCCCAGGATCTGCAATGTAGTACCCCAATCTAGACTGTGAAATCAAAATGTGAGTTTGGATTCTGGGGGGAAAGGACACCAATCCCTTGGCATCTATCAAAAACACAGAAACGCCCCGACCTGGACGGTCCGGGCTAGCCCGGTCTCGTCAGATTTCGGAAGCCGGATCGGCCCCGGTTCACAGTTCAGTGGGAGACCGCCGAGGAAGCCCAGAGGGGCTACGCAGAGGCAGGCAAGGGACAACCACCTCTGTTCACCTCTTGCCTTGGAAACCCTAAGGCAGCTGAGTCGCCTTAAGACAGCTGAGACTTGATGGCAGTTTCCACCATTGGAGTTTAAAAAAAACAAAACACAACAACCTAAAATTTCAGGGCAGGTTTCTGGAACTTTATCCTGCGAATGGCCCATAAAGCAGCCATTCGCAGAATGACAGAGTGAAAAGGAACCTCGGCCCCTGCCAGACGGCAGAAAAAAACACGGCCAAAGTGCAGCTTTTTAGAGCCGCACCAAAAGAGACACGCAGTTGCTCCCCGGCACGATCAGATGCCAGGGAGGAAGCCACCGATGGGAGACCGAGGCAGCCGGCTGCGCATGCGTGTGCATGCGCAGTTTGGCCAGGAGCCTCGAATGCTCCTGACGATGGATGCGCCGGCGATCCCATGGCCGCGCTTGCTGCGGTGTTTCAGGTAAGTCCTTCCCTTTACTTGATTTTTTTTTGCTCCGCAGCACTGGGCTGTAGGGACGGATTGGGGACGGGTGCGCGCCGATTCCCAGGTGTTGCGGTGAGATCGCGCACGTTTGCTGCGCCCCCGATCCGTCCCTCTTCCGGCCCAAAACCTCCCGTGTGACCGGGGCCCTCAAGAATCAATTGACACCCGGCAATAGCAAACATCATCAATTATTTCCCCTCTTAAAACTTATCCCTAGGAAACCCCACCCCTTCTTGGCAAATGCCATTACCCAAGTGGGGGTGGACATGCATCCACCCAGCTTCGATAATGGTATTTGCCATAAAGCATGTCTTTACAACCAGCCTAAATGTGCTTCCTTCGATTCCTCTCAATTTGCTTCCTTTGCTCCTTGTTCTTCCATCAGTCGTTCCAGTGCAACGGTTGCTCTCCCTCTTTGTAAAGGAAGCCTTTCGCACAGCTAAACATCCTCAAGTTGAGGAATGGCAAAGGGGTCGGTCGTTGCAAATCATTCCAGCCCTACATTTCAGCAGTTAAAGGAGTATATAGAGTTAAGGCACTTGGCTCGATATAAAAGGTGACAAGGTTCGGGATCTGCACTCTTTGTTCGACTCTGAAAAGAACGGCTGACACCCAAGTAGGAGCAGATGTAACCCCAGGGCCCCCAAACTTTTTGAGTCTATGGGCACCTTTGAAATTCTGACACGGTGAGACGGGCGCAGCTACAAAATGGCTGCTGCAGAAGGCGGAGCCAGCGACAAAACAGCTGTCACAGCTCGCCTACTGTCACACAGTGAAGATCCTTGTGCTGTAGTGGCCGCTGCTGACAAGGCAATGTTTTTAAAAAATCTGCACAGGCAATCAAATCTCCAGTGGCCAATCAGAAGCATCGACCCTGCCCACTTTCCAAAAAAAGCACTTGGTGGACACCAGCAAAGGCATCAGTGGGCTCCACCATGATTCCTGCGGGAACCGTATTGGGGATCCCTGGTGGAACCCAAACCACATCCAGCCTGAGAAATATATTATAGCTCAAAACCAAACTTATTCCACAACGTTCTCCAACCCAACATGAAGGAAGAGCCATACTTACGTCGACAATGAGGAAATCGAGCCAGCACCAGGCATTGGTGAAGTACTTCTTAAAGCCGTAAGCTACCCATTTGAGAAGCATCTCCAGAACAAAAATGTAAGTGAAGATACGGTCGGCGTATTCCAACATGGTTTTAATGTTCCTTCGCTCTTCAAGGTAGATGTCTTCAAATGCCTGGAAGGAGAAAGCAGCTTATTGCAGTGCTACGTACTTCAGATGATCTACTCGGCGGGGTAAAATCAAGAAGGCGGCTCTAGGAATAAACAACTAGACCAGTGCAAAATATTTGCCAATGAACAAAGGTCCCATCCAAACACCAGATTTGCTCAATGTCGCCATAGGGTTGTTCGAAAGACATTTTAAAAAAAAGAATTTCACAATTTGTCTTTTTCATTCTCTGCAAGAAGAACGATAATTTACAGTCCCGGTCTACGAAATGTTTGAGTGAGAATACTCAGGGGTCATTTCCTGCAGGAGCGCACAGGAGCAGAGTACCGGCAGTAAAGAGCCCAGGGGACGGGCACATGCAACAAGCCCCACCCCCTGCTCCCAGCAGCCCTCAGTCAGAGCAAGAAGCAGCCAGGTAAGCTGCAGAGCCCCCCCCCCGGCCCAAAACAGTCTAGTGGCACCTTTAAGACCAAGTTTTATTCAGGTATGAGCTCTCCCTCCTCTGTGAGGACAGATCTGCATAATAATTCCCCCCCCAATAGCTAGCAATCCAAAACAGTCCAGTGGAGCCTGAGCAGTGGGTGTTGCCTTCTGACACACTTCCGGTGATGCCAGGGGGTGTGGCATATGCAAATAAGTTATGCTAATGAGTTACGCTAATGAGTTACGCGAATGAGCTCCTGCACCTCTTTTTCTACAAAATGACCCCTGAGAATACTCGGTTTGTGTTATGTGCCACCATGTCACTTTTGACTTGTGGTGGTCCTTTGAACTAATGACCTCCAACATGCCCTGTCATTAGCAGCCTTGTTCAGGTCTTGCAGACTAAAGGCCCCATGTGGCTTCCTTGATTGAGTCCCTCCCTCTCATGTTGGGTCTTCTTCTTTTCCTCTTTTCTACTGTTTCTAGTATTACTGTGTTTTCCAGTGAGTCTTGTATCCCAGCCTATTGATTTCATGGGGTTCAGGCCAGCCTATTTATGCACAGAATTACTCTGTTAAGGTGATTTGCAACGTGATCCACAAAGCGTTTAAGACCACGTGAACAGCTGCTCAGATGGAGGAGACCACCTAGTCTGGGATCTTGTTTCCAACAGCACTCTCTTGGAATTGACAAACAGGACACAGATTTCCTATGTTGTATGCCCCCCAAGCATGTAATAAAAGATATTGCCTCTGAACATGGAAGTGCTTTTTTGCTACTATGGCTAATTACTACTTTTGCTCTCCCATGAGCATGTCTAATTCTTCTTCAGAGTCATAATTCTTCTTCGGAGTCACCTGAACTAGTGGCCATGATCACATCTTGTGGTTGGATTCCCTAAGCTAATCATGCACAGTTCACCTAAATGCAGTGGGCCCGTCTTTGTGGTTCTCTCATTTAGGGAGTCAGATCTACACAGCTGGCAATAGCCAGATGAAAACAGTCTGTGGCTTCCTACAGAGATCATGGGAGTTGGTCACCAAGACATGAATAAATTGACTTCTGTTGAGTCTACCCATTGGTCTGCCAAGGTCAATGTTGCCTACTCAGACTGGCTGTGGCTCTCCAAGGTCTCAGAGTAAAGGCCCTTCACATCAACTATGACCTGATCTTCTGGCTGAAGGTGCCAAGGATGATATCTGGGACTTTTGGCATGCAAAGGACCCGCTCCACCACTGAGCCACAGCCCGTCTGTGATGCACCCCCATCCACTCAGGGCTAAAGGGATATCCCAGAGGGCAGCCATGTTGGTCTGCAGTAGAACATCTAGACATGAGTCCAGTCGCACCTCAGAAACCAACAAGATGGGGGGGGCATGAGCTTTCAAAAGCCAAAGCTCCCTTCGTCAGATACCTGACACCTGACAAAGGGACCTTTGTCTGCGATCAGATGACAGGCTTTGGCCCGGTCTGGCCACGCCTTTAATTTCTCCAGAGCTGTTTGTTCCAGAGAGGTGCGACCAGACATGCTACCCTATTCCTGCCTTACCTCGTGGTCAACTGTTCAGCCCACCACTGCATGGTCACCAGGGAGAGAGCGGGCAGACAGCTTCTTTCTTTAAAAAACCCCTCTAATGTGCATATGCACATAACTGCTTATTTGCTAGGAGCAGATATGCAGTTATGTGCACATCGCTAACTGCAGGGGGGAAAGGCGGCCAAGGACCAGAAGCATCAGACCTCCCCAAGTGGTCTGAGCACGCAAGAGAGAGATCAGATGCCTAGAAATTCACAGTGAGACAAGTTCAGTCGTAAACACCAGACTTTATACAGTGGTGGGAAAGTCAGGGGTGGGGGCCGACAACTGAGGGATGGGAGGCAGCGGGCAGACAGCTTCTTTCTTTAAAAAGCCCTCTAATGTGCACAGGCACAGAACTGCTTTATGCGCACATCACTAACTGCAGGGGGGAAAGGCGGCCAAGGACCAGAAGCATCAGACCTCCCCAAGTGGTCTGAGCACGCAAGAGAGAGATCAGATGCCTAGAAATTCACAGTGAGACAAGTTCAGTCGTAAACACCAGACTTTATACAGTGGTGGGAAAGTCAGGGGTGGGGGCCGACAACTGAGGGATGGGAGGCAGATATTGCCGTCCGATCACGCACTTCAAATCTGGTAGGGAGCCGCCACAACATCGGAGCAACTTGTCCGTCTGACCACAGCCTTTGACTCCCAAAAGTTCATCCCTTGAAGATCTTGTGGATCTCTCGGGCGCTACTGGACTCGAATCTAGCTGCTCTAGAAGCCATGAAATCCTAAACACTCTTTGCACGATATCAAAGCTGTGGGAGACAAACCAGCTCACAAGCAGTGTTCCCTCTAAGCTGAGATATTGCCATCCGATCACGCACTTCAAATCTGGTAGGGAGCCACCACGACATCGGAGCAACGTGTCCGTCTGACCGCAGCCTTTGACTCTCAAAAGCTCATCCCTTGAAGATCTTGTGGATCTCTCAGGTGCTACTGGACTCGAACCTAGCTGCTCTAGAAGCCATGAAATCCTAAACACTCTTTGCACGATATCAAAGCTGTGGGAGACAAACCAGCTCACAAGCAGTGTTCCCTCTAAGCTGAGTTAGTGTGAGCTGGCTCACAGTTTTTTAGCCTCCAGCTCACACATTTTTGTCTTAGCTCAGGAAGGAGGGCTCCAGAGCAAACTAATTGATGCAGTAGCCAATGCTTGCTCACAACTTTAATGCCAGTAGCTCACAAAGTAGAATTCTTGCTCACAAGACTCCACAGCTCAGAGGGAACACTGCTCACAAGCTGGTTTTTTTTGGGGGGCGGGGGACATTAGAAGAAGCGGCAGCAACAGGAACAGATGAGAGCAGGCTAGACAGGCATCATTATCCGGAAGGGGGAAAGCTGTCCAATTAAGGTGACTAGCACCGAGGAGAGCCCGAGCCAAGGCTGAGTGAAGCCAAGGCTGCGTTGAAGACAGAGTGGGTTAGCGTTCATTGAAAACAGCCTGGCAGAAAGCTCAGAGTCCTCTGATGCAAAGGGAACCACTCCAGAAGGCGAAGTCTGGCCCAGCTCCATCCCAGTGGGCATAAAAGGCAGCTTCCCAGCCAAGTCCAATGTCTTGGTCCACCGCCAAAGCGCTCTGGACTGGGAATAAGGATCTCAGCTGTGATACAGCCACGGGTGGTACCAGCACTGTTACGTTTCCCCCTTCAGATGCGCTCAGGCGTGCTAGCCAGTGTGTGGTGGAGTGGTTACAGAGTCAGACTAGGTTCTGCGAGACCTGGGCTCAAGTCCCAACTGTGCCATGTAACTTCCTGGCTGACTCTTTGAACGAGTCTCTCTCTTTCAGTGTAACCTCACAGGGTCGTAGTGAGGACCAAAGAAGGAGGAACATCTGGACTGAAATAGACCATCAGTCCATCACTGAACCAGACCATCAGTCCATCGCAGTCTCTATTGTCTACTCAGATTGGCAGCGGCTGTCTAGGGTCTCAGGTAGAGGTCTTTCACACCACTTATCACCTGATCTTCTTAACTGGAGATGACAGGGATTGAACCTGGGACTTTCTGCATGCAAAGCAGAGGCTCTGCCACTGAGCTACAGCCCCTCCCCCCCGAGAACCACATGCACCCATGGAGCTGTATGGGGAAGGGCTATACAGAAAGCTGTGCAGAACTACATCTTCGAGACTGCTCACAGTTCATTCTTGGCACTCCTAAAAGAACCAGGGCAGGATTTCCAGGCGGCTGCTTTATCAGCAGCAGCTGAATTGACCGCTTGCCGTATGAAAGCTAAAGCAATTTCCACAGTAATGGTCTGTCAGGGAGATAATTATCATGCCTAATATTTACGTAGCCCTTTCCCCAAGAGCCCAGAACGCTTCCCGCACCTGAGGCCACCCAGCGGATGCATCCCCGAGCTGACATTTGAACTCGGTTCATACCTAAACTGAGGGGATAGGAGGGAGCCTGCCCTGACTCCATCTCCCAAATGGCTCTGCTCACTTCTATTTTTTAAAAAATTTCTTTGATTTATATCCCGCCCTCCCCTCTCTTTTTCACCCCCTATCAGTGTGTCCCGGCAGCTGAAGACTTTTTTGTTTCGCTTGACATACCCCCAGTAATGGTTACGGGCAGGAGTCCTTTGGTAGCATAACTCATTATCATAACTTATTTGCATGTGCCACACCCCCTGACATCACCGGAAGTGTGTCAGAAGGCAACGCCCACTGCAACTTACCTGGCTGCTTCTCGCTCCTCGTAGCCTGGGGCTGCTGGGAGCAGGGGGCGGGGCTTGTTGCATGTGCCCGCCCCCTGGGCTCTTTACTGCCGGAGCTCCGCTCCTGTGTGCTCCTGCAGGAAATGACCTGTGGTTACGGGCCCTCCTCCCTGGTTCCGGTGTTGTTGGTCGATGTGTTTTTACTGAATTATTTCATGACGTTAAATGTTGTTGTTTTTTTTTTAATGATCCAAATGTTCTAATGGTTTTTACATTCACCGCCTTGGGGACCCTGACCAGGTGGAAAGGCGGCCTAAATATGTTTTAAATAAATAACTTCTCTTCCTGCTTTCATCCACTCAAAATTACCCCCTCTCAGTTTGTTCTCCCACCACCACCACCACCACCAGCGGAGGGAAGAAGAAATACGGGAATCTCATATCTCTTCCTCTATGAGTGGAACGGCAGTTTGGGGACAATTCTCAACAGAACGATATCAGGAAAGGAGAAGATCAAGAGCTCTCCTCATGCTTTTCTGCTTCTGATTCCAACCTTCAAAAGCTGAGATGCACTAAAGAAATTAGTTTGGGGGAAGAATTATTCAACTGACTCAGCTGTGTAGTTTGAGTTTCATTCAAACCTTTCCTTCAGATGCCATCTTTTCTTCTTCTTCTTCTTTTGAGTCTTAGGGCCAAATTAGCTATAATGGCATCCTTGTGGCGGCCACCACCATTTTGAAGTAATTTAAAAATGCTGTGAGGGGCTGCTCTGGCGGCCTTTTAAATGACTTTCTGAACGGTGGTGGCATCCTTGGGGCATTTTAAAATGGCTGTCGAATGGTGGCAGCATCCTTGCGTCATCTTAACACTACTTCAAGATGGCAGTGGCGTCCTTGTGTCATTGTAAACCGATTTCAAAATGGCAGCAGCGTCTTTGAGGCATTTTAAACCGATTTCAAAATGGCAGCAGCGTCTTTGAGGCATTTTAAAATGGCTCCTCATGATGACCACAAGGACACTTTCGTATCTAGTTTGGCCCTCTGACCCGTAAAGTAAGTTGAGGGGAGGGAGTAGATCACTCCTGTCACACAAAGACATCCTAAACTGAGGGAAAGGTACACTATTCTCCAGTTGATACAGGAACTGGGGAGACGCTGTCCCAGATAGGGATGGGCACGAACCGGCTGACAAACTTTAGAATTGTCATGAATTTTGGCCGGTTTGTGGTTTGCAAATCAATGTTCACGAACTGAAGTACTGCCATGAACTTTCATGAACTTTGATGCAGTTTGTGGTGGTTCGTGAAGAGCAGAAGGTAGGAGTTTAAACCCCTGCTTTCTACTCTTCACAAAAAACAGCTGAGCGCTCCCAGCCATTTATACCCCTGCTTTCTGCTCCCCGCGAAAAGCAGAAGTGAGCAGAAAGCAGGGGTTTAAACTTTAAATGGCTCATGAACTGGATTGGTTCGTGAATCAACCTCTTGGTTCATATGGGTTTGTGGTTCAGTTCGTGGTTCAGCCCTAGATGAAAGGCTGCAGATTCCCCAACAGAACAAAAAGGGGGGAAATGCCAGGTGATGGATGACTGATTTATTATACAAAGTCCCTACGCTTTTCGCCATGCAGGCTTCATCAGGGGGAATCAGAACATTCAACTAGTGCTGGAACTGTCCACAGCAAATTTTTCTTTATCCTGCCCATTCCCCCCACACAGTCTATCACCTTTATCTCCTTCTCTGCTTTCTGGGAGTTTGCCCAACATGCCTCCTGCCTCTCTCAGCAAAGCAGTTGAAGAGAAAGAGGCAAGACATACTGAATCACAGATGGGCGGGAGATGATTCTAGAAGATTAACGATAATTCAGAAAGCTCTCTTCACACATGTGTAGGCATATTTTTTTTAAAGGATCATGAGGAGAAAATTGTAAGTTCTGAAGCTTACCAGTGCTCCGCTGCTCAGGAGGATCATAAATATAATGAACGTTTCGAACCAGCTGTGTTCAACAATTTGGTAGCAGGTTTTCCGGAGCCTCCACCAAACTCTCCCGGGAAATTTCGTGGTGTCCACAGAACAGCAGGGGAAGAGTCGGACGCATGCTGAAAAGAGCAAGCCAGGCCAGAGAGAATGTTTAATGCCAAAGGGGATGAAACATAAGAACATAAGAACATAAGAGACGCCAATGATGGATCAGGCCAAAGGCCCATCCAGTCCAACACTCTGTATCCCACAGTGGCCAGAAATACCAGTGCCATCAGGAGGTCCACCAGTGGGGCCAGGACATTAGAAGCCCTCCCACTGTTGACCCCCCCCAAGCACCGTGGGTAGACAATACTGACTTCGATGGACCAAAGGTCTAAGGCATGTGTTCATGTGCTTCAAGGGGCTATTCTGCATCTAGCATTCACACCACATTTTCTCAACTGGGAGGAAAAAGTGCAGCTCAAAACCACATTCAAATAGCTCATAGTGACTGCAAAGTCATCACTGAACGGCTATAAAATGGCCATAAATCTATACAGAAGGTACAATAAAATCCGATGAACAAAGAAAGCGGAAGCGGCATGGAGTGTGGAGGCTGCCATCAAATCCGATGAACAAAGAAAGCGAAAGCGGCATGGAGTGTGGGGGCTACCATAAAGTCCAACGATCAAAGGAAGTGAAAGCAGCATGCGATGCAGAGGGGAATTTCTGTTCCAATGTGGGTTTTGTAAAACAATGAAGGGAAAAGCCAATGCGGAATCAGCCAAGGTTTCAAATCCTCTGTTTTTTGTGTGGCTGCTTTTACAATTCTTGTGTATCCAAAGGGTTGTTTGGGATTCATGCACAGTTTATATGGCATTTAGGTCTATGACTATATTAGTACATACGTGATATTGATATACTAGGGTTGCCAACGCTGGGTTCAGAATACAGTTGCCAACCTCCAGGTGGTGGCTGGAGATCTGGGATTACAAGCAATGTTCCCTCTAAGCTGTGGAGTCTTGTGGGCAAAAAATTCTACTTTGTGAGCTACTGGCATAAAAGTTGTGAGCGAGCAATCTGGAGCCATCTTTCCTGAGCGAAAAGAAAAATGTGTGAGCTGGAGGCTAAAAAACTGAGCTAGCTCACACTAACTCATCTTAGAGGGAACACTGATTACAACGGATTTCTAGGCGATAGAGATCAAATCCCCTGGAGAAAATGGCTGCTTCGGAAGGCAGACTCTATGGCATTATACCCCATTCAAGTCCCTCCCCAAACCTTACCCTTCTCAGCCTCCACCCCCAAAATCTCCAGGTATTTCTCAACCTGGAGCTGGTAACCCTAGTTTGGAAACACCTCGAGATTTGGGGGTGCAGTCTGAGAAGTAGGGTTGCCAAGTCCTGCAAACTCACCGGCAGGGGAGGCTCTGATGGGTCCGGGAGCCGGATCCGGATACGCGTGCGCGCCGCCAGCACGTCAACGGAAGTGATGTGTGACGTCGCTCATGTTGGGGGCGTGGCCCAGATCGTTGGGGGGGGAAACCATATGGTTCCCCCCAGCGATCTGGGCCACGCCCCCAACATGAGCGACATGGCTGCAGCTTTGGGGGGCGGAGTTCCCCCCGGGGCCCAATTCCAGCGCAGCAGAAATTGGGCCTCCAAAGCGGGGGTTTCCCCGCCCCCCGCCCCCACTTGGCAGCCCTACTGAGAAGGATGGGGTTTGGGGAGAGGAAGGACCTCGAGGGGATCTAATGCATGCGCTCTCCAAAGCAGCCATTTCCTCCAGCAGACTGGATCCCCGTAGTCTAGAGTTGGGCTGTAATTCTGGCAGATCTCCCGGCCTCATCTGGAGGTTAGAAACCCCATGAAATACTAAAACACAAATTACAACGGGGGAGGGGGGGAATGTATGTACTTCACTGGAGAAAAATGCAGGGAGTTAGAAAGGGACATGAAATGTAGCCAATGCAAAGTCCAGTTCACACAAGGGTTGAAATGGAATTGGTGTGTGTGTGTGTGTGGGGGGGGTTTACAACCAAGAGGTATGAGAAATCTGGAATCGTCCCATTCCACCAAGAGCCGACCAATATGTCCACATGTGAATTAACCAACTAAGCCAGTGATGGCGAACCTTTTAGAGACCGAGTGCCCAAACTGCGACCCAAAAACCACTTATTTATCGTAAAGTGCCAACACGGCAATTTAACCTGAATACTGAGGTTTTACTTTAGAAAAACAACTCATACATTCACTAAAGATGATCCAAACAAAGTAAGGAAAGCAATCCCAAATGCTTTCATTTACTTAAAATTATTTGGCAGAGAATTCGACACTTTAATGATGGTCTGGGCCTGGCTGGGGCGATGGCACACGTGCCCACAGAGAGGGCTCTGAGTGCCACCTCTGGCACCCGTGCCATAGGTTCGCTACCACTGAACTAAGCTTTATGTGAGAAGGGGGTGGCGGCGGCACATGATTTCAATGACTAAAATGGTTCACAGCTGAGCAAGACCATTTTGCAAATTAAATACAAAAGTACAATAATGTTGGGAGATTTGATTTATGGTCTCTGGTTCTACGAAAACACCCCCAAATCCTTGGGTAACATAATAAGCTTTTAACCCTTTCCAGTTGGTCTGGTTGTGCTGTGAGCGCAAGACATCACCAAATATATAACAGTATAACCTTCATCCATTTGATATTAATATTGAATATTACTAACAGAAGTGAGCAGTGACTCACAAAAGCTCCCACCCTGCCACAGATGTTGTTAGTCTTCAAGGTGCTACTAGACTCTTGCTCTTTTCTACATTACATAATGCAACCTTCACCTATTTAGAGAAGAAGAAGAAGAAGAGATTGGATTTATACCCCGCCCTTCACTTGGAGTCTCAGAGCGGCTTACAAACTCCTTTTCCCTTCCCCTCCCCACAACAGACACCCTGTGAGGTGGGTGGGGCTGAGAGAACTCTGACACAAACTGCTCTTTTTCAAGGACAGCTGTGCCAGAGCTTGTGACTGACCCAAGGTCACATCAGCAGGTGCAAGTGGAGGAGTGGGGATTCAAACCCGGTTCTCCCAGATTAGAGTCCGTACACTTAACCCACTAGACCAAACTGGCTCTCCTAAACCTCCTACACAGGGGTCATTCCGTAGAAAAAGAGGTGCAGGAGCTCATTAGCATAACTCATTAGCATAAATTATTTGCATATGCCACACCCCCTGACATGTGTCAGAAGGCAACACCCACTGCTCAGGGTCCACTGAACTGTTTTGGATTGCTAGCTGTTGGCGGGGGGGACATGCAGATCTGTCCTCACAGAGGAGGGAGAGCTTTTACCTGAATAAAACTTGGTCTTAAAGGTGTCACTGGACTGTTTTAGACGGGGGGGGGGGCTCTGCAGCTTGCCTGGCTGCTTCTTGATCTGACTATTCTATGATAGCAAGAAAATGCAAGTAGATAAATAGGGACCGCTTCGGTGGGAAGGTAACAGCGTTCTGTGTGCCTTGGCATTTAGTCATGCCAGCCACATGACCATGGAAACGTCTTTGGACAGTGCTGGCTCTTCGGCTTGGAAACGGAGATGAGCACCGCAACCCTAGAGTCGAATTCGACTGGCTTTCGAGCAAGGGAAACCTTTACCTTTACCTGAAAGTGTGAAATTGTCCATAGTGGCAGGGGTGGATTGGGATGCTAAAACAGGTTTGGGGGAAAACCACGGGGCCAATCAGCCCCAATGCTGGCAGCTTTTAAAGTTATGCAGTTCTTGCTTCAAAAAAAAAAAAGCCTTGTAAAACAAGTCTAATAGATAAGAAAAAACCTTAAAATGCTGGAACTCTGCAGAAAACGTCTGTGCTGGGCGCCGCCCTAACCGGAAACCCCCGCCCCAATACTGATAAAAGTTTGCTGCTTCCGATACAGGAGTTACACTCTGACACATACACACAAATCAAGGTGGGCACTTCGGGCTCTTTAACAAGAGGTATTTCTGTAGGTAAAGGAGTAAAGCAGGGGTGTGTTTTAGCCCCCCTGCTATTCAACCTGTACATAAATGACATTGTTTCCAAATTATCGGGTTCAGAATTTGTTTCGCCTTCTATAGACCATCAGAAAATATCACTCCTGTTGTATACTGATGACATGGTACTAACTTCCCAAAACAGAATCTGCCCCAAAAGCCTTCTAAATAGTCTGGGTGATTATGGAAATGAAGAGAAGCTTACAATTAATTACATGAAAACCAAACTTATGGTTTTCCGGAATAGACCAAAACAAGTTCTCCTGCGCATACACGGCATATCAATAGAGCAGTGTAAAACCTATAAATATCTGGGCATTACCAATCAGCTTTTGTGACATGGGGACAGTTTTGTGTAGTGGTTAGGAGCGTTGACTCTAATCTGGGAGAACTGGGTTTGATTCCCCACTCCTTCACATGCAGCTGCTGGTGTGACTTTGAGTCAGTCATAAGTTCTTTCAGAGCTGTTCTCTCTCTCTCTTTTTAATTTTTATTTATGATTTTAACTTCACCATAAACAGGGGTACAATATTAAAATTACATGCAGTGAGTCTATCACATTATTTTTTACCTAACTGGGTATGTAATCTGTTCCATCTT